CCTAGAGCTTTCTGCTTTGTGGTCTAGGTGGTTTCTGAGATCCTTCGTTTCCGCCTCACGGGCGGGAAGTCCACGGGAAAGGAATGAATCCCTCGACCCTCCGCCTGAGGCGGCAAACTCGTCAAGCCGGCTAAGGACGTTTACATTGTCCTTCTCCAGCTGACGTAATCTATCGCCAAATTTTTCTTCAATCACCTCCGCCAGCTGACGGGCCAAGGGGGCTGATCCCCCTGACCTGATCCCCATACTGGTTTGAGGAGTAACCCCTCTTGACCGAGTAGAGGCACTTTTATTCGTGTTAGTGTGATCCCTCCCTCCGCGATGACAGGGAGCTTGTAACTCGAGACTCCTTTGGTGGGGTCCTTTCCCTCTTTGTCGAGTGTTCATCATGGGCACTGTTCTTTATAGAGAGAAAACTAGGAAAACTAGTCGTTTCCCACAGACGGCGCCAGATTGTGCGTGCAAGATCCTGCACAATATAAAAAACGGGAACAGATCTCTCTCCTGGTGAACTCGAGTGAGCGGGTGGAGTGACCAAACACACTGTTTGGGACAGCCTGCACGGTACGGTGGTAACCCGGAACAGCAACGGGAGACCCTGGGAAAGGAGTGACGGTCCAGTAAGGATGAAAGGGGTTCCTGGAACAAAGAAGAATGGGTTAGAAGGGCGCCGGAGTGTTTTCCGGCGTATCCCCTCCGACGGTCTAGTCAGTCTTTGAGTGAGAGAGGAAGGAGAAAACACTGAGAAAAATGGATTGTAGTAAAGAGCTTGTTGTTGCATACCCGCTCTGCCTTTTGCAAGGAGTATTTATACATCAAAAGCTCATGATTGCTGTCAGTGCGGTCAGTAGGTGATCATTAGGCACAGGTAGCTTGTACATTTGATTCTGATGAGGAATGTCTTCTCTAATTAACTGCTCGGGGTCCCGAGCAATCAATGCTGAGTCGTCGGGATGCCGACGGTACAATATGCTCCTCTCGGGGAGGATGTAATAAATGCTCTGTAATGGGAGCATTTATTGTCTTTCATTTCCGAGCCTTACCGCATTGAATGCGGTCTCATCAACGGAAGGGTGCAATTAATTGTTTGTTTTCCCAAGCCGTGTGTCAGCAACGGCGTGCAGTTTGTCTGTCTCTGATGTGACATCATTTGTCACGCGTCCATCCCCTCTTGGCTGTGACCTCTGCATTCCAGTATGTTCTGACATTACTTGTGTAAGACGAGGTCATGATGAGCAACCTAGACTAGCCTAGGCTAGTGACCTATACGTCAATAGCTTATCCTGGAGTAGAGGAAGCGTCCAGGACGGTGTAACTCTCGGCACCGAGAAAAGGCTCATCTCGGGGACAGAGGGAGGTTTGCGGCCGAGGTACATAGGTGACCGAGGACACGTGTTTTGGTTCTATAATATACTGAATGCATGATCCTACATGACGGTACCTCGGGGGCGAGGACATTCGCTCGCCGATGGTGCTTGTTCCAAGCAACAGTGTTTTAGCAACACCGAGGACACGTGTCTTCATCATAGGACATTTCAGAAGAGTCTCATCATCACTTTCAATTTTTTTAACAATGTGGATAAGCATAAACAAGTCGGAATTAAACGATTTGGAGTTAGAAGTTTCACAGCTTTATCTTTGGTTCTATCATTTATGTCGGCATCTTGATACTAAAATTTTGTAAACCCACCATCATTGTGCAAAAATAGGAGTTATTTTTCATTATACAGTAATTTTAAAATAAATTTATCAAAATACGATATTTTTAAATTTATTTATCAAACTACGACACTTTTTAAAAAATGGAATTATTGACTCCGCTTTTGTTATAAAAAGCGGAGTCAAAAACCCCGCTTTTTGGTTGGAAAAGGCTATTCATTGTTGCATTCAAACGTAAAATGAGGTTATTAAGCCAATAAATTCATTCTTAAAAGTGGGATTATTGACTCCATTTTTTATAAAGTATCGCAATTTGATAAATAATTTCACAAATACCGTACTTTAGTAATTTTAGAGTAAAATTGCCGCAAAGTGATAAACAACTCCCAAAAATAGTTGTCAACCGAACAAATTACTCTTTCTCTCTCCATTTGAGGAGAAGGAGGTTGTGTTGTCATTATCATTTGGAGAGATTATAATGTGGCCGGAACCAAAGAACAAAAATAAATGATGAGCCGGCAATGTCATCTACATCATTTTTAATACATAATACATCCACAATGTATTTGACATTTGACTCACTTTGTAAAATGTTTGTCCTTTTTCTTCCTCCCTTACACATTTTCAAACCATTAAAGGGTCTTCGGGTACATATGATCTGGACAAAGAATATAAAATGGATTTAGGTTTCAATCATAAGAAACAAAAAGAACCCACTGACCACAAAGTTTTTCCAAACACAAAGATGCCATTTGATTCCTTTCTGTATTTCTTGTCATTGTGCTGAGGGAAGACAACAACTGCTTCTATATAAACCTAAGGGGTAGTAAGTTAATCCCTACCAACTACCACTTCCTGTGAAGCTACATTGGTTTTTACCTCTTGGGTTGAAGACTCCTCCTCTACGAAAATGGTAATCTCTTGGTTGCAAATAAGGTGGTCTCAAAGACTGTTAAGAGAAAGATGGTGGCATTCAAGTATAGTGTATCATATATATATATATATAGATGTGAAACATATGTGCATCACCTCATTGAATCACATTACGTACATTCTACAATGAATTTTCTACCTGTTCTTTTCTCGGTAACCATGCACTAATTTTCTTGGCTAATCGGTTTTATTTTTTGTGGCCAGGGCAACTTCAAAGATGTTAAAAACCAACCTCAACAAGTGAAGCTGGGAGGAACTAGAGCTGCTCTCTTTGTATATGGTATAACAAGTTTCTAACAATCACCGGTCTAATTAATGTGTTTTTAGGCTGTTGTTTTGTAAACATTGATAAATTGTGGTTAGTTTATGGCTGATTTGAGTGTTTTGATTTCATGCAGCTACTGCGTCACTTGAGAACTTGGCATTTCTCTCCAATGCAGTTAGCCTAGTAACTTACTTCTATGGATACATGAATTTCAGCTTGACAAAATCGGCTAACACACTTACTAACTTCCTGGGTACTGCATTTCTACTATCGTTGTTTGGAGGATTTATTTCAGACACCTACTTGTCCAGATTCAAGACGTGTATTCTGTTTGGATCCATTGAAGTACTGGTATGTTAGATACCATTTTAGTCTCCCTTGGATGAACCATATTATGCATCCAATTTTCGATTTGAACAGGCATACTACCATCAACTAACCTTAACTTAAAACTTTTTAATTGTTACCTAAGAACTTCAAGTAAATGAAACCACATGAAAGTAAACAGAGAAAGAAATAACATATGCTGATAAGATCACTAGTACTCTCTTGGAAAAGACGTAAACTTGGCAGAATTTCATGTGGCAGTTTTCAATCATAGCATCAAATAGAAGATCACAAGTGCATCGATTCTTTTTCAAAAATGTTTTGCTATCAAAGGTTAGATGAATTGGAATCAGATAAATGGTAATTCAAAAATAGATCAACCAATGAACAACAATGCACCACATGTACAGATTATATGTTCAGCAGAAACTAGATTATAGATTTGATCGATACTGTGTATCAATTTCATTTACAGGGTTTCACAGTCCTAACAGTACAAGCACACTTCCAACAACTAAGGCCCTTTCCCTGCAAGGATGTTCCTCCAAGCAAAATGCATCAATGTGAGGCTGCAGATGGCAGCCAAGCCACAGTCCTTTTTACAGGTCTGTATCTGGTTGCTCTAGGAACCAGTGGGGTTAAGGCAGCTCTACCATCTTTGGGAGCAGACCAATTTGATGAGAAGGACCCCAAGGAAGCAGCTAAGCTTTCGAGTTTCTTCAACTGGTTGTTGTTTAGTATCACAATTGGAGCCATATTAGGTGTGACCTTCTTAGTCTGGATTAGTGCCAACCAAGGGTGGGATTGGAGTTTTGGAGTCTCTACCATCGCTGTCCTAGCGGGGATGTTGTGCCTTACTATGGGGAGATCAATTTATCGGAATAATAAGCCCAAGGGAAGCCCAATAATCCGCATTTTACAGGTATATGTGCACTGGATAACAAGTACATGATCAGAAATAATGTGCTATACTAATCCTCTGGCTACTATGATTTTTTCGATCTTTAAGTTGGTATAAGTTGCATAGACTTAATTTTTTTAAAGAGATTCATCTTTTACGTTTCAGGTATTTGTAGCTGCCATCAGAAACCGAAACCATTCAGTACCAGAGACAACACAGGAGTTGCACGAGATTCATGACAAAGAAGCTGCAATAGAAACTGAAATTCTCCAAAGAACTGCTCAATTCAAGTATTTTGATCAAATTCTGTACTCAATTCCAATTGTTCATGCTAGCTACTAATAAATTTGATCCAATAACTATATCATTTGACCAACCTTGACAGATTTTTGGATCGAGCAGCGATTGTTGCAAGGACAGATGATGCATCCACACCCAATATACCTAGAGGACCATGGAGGATGTGCACAGTGACACAAGTTGAAGAAACTAAGATATTGGTTCGAATGCTTCCTATTATCCTGAGCACCATCTTTATGAACACATGTTTGGCTCAACTCCAAACTTTTTCTATCCAACAAAGCACAACAATGGACAGAAATATCCTTGGCTTTCAATTTCCTGGAGCCTCAATTCCAGTAATTCCCCTAGCATTCATGTTCATTTCAATCCCAATCTATGATAGAGTTTTCGTTCCAATGGCACGAAAGTTGACAGGCGTTCCAACTGGGATTCGACACCTCCAAAGGATTGGGGTAGGGCTCGTGCTCTCGGCTATTTCCATGGCAGTTGCCGGAATCATAGAAACCCACAGGAAAACAGTAGCTGAGCAGCACAACATGGTTGATTCTGCCTCCCCTTTGCCAATGAGTGTATTCTGGCTAGGCATCCAATATGCTATATTTGGAATTGCTGATATGTTTACACTGGTGGGGCTGTTAGAGTTCTTTTACGCGGAAAGCTCGTTCGGCATGAAGTCACTGAGCACAGCCATCTCTTGGTGTTCAATGGCGTTCGGGTACTATACAAGCTCAGTGATGGTGGATGTGGTAAACAGGGTCAGTGGTGGTTGGCTGGCTAGTAACAATTTGAACAAAGATAAATTGAACTACTTCTACTGGTTGTTGTCAGGGTTGAGCATAGTAAATTTTGGGGTTTATTTGATGTGTTCATCTTGGTATAGATACAAGAGGGTTCAAGTGCAGGAAGATGCTAGTAGTGATGCTGAAGCTAAGATAAATATTGAAAATAGGGAGAGTTTAGGAATTTCGCATCCTTGTGGTGCCGTCCTAAGGCTTAACATGTAAGGAACTCTGTGTATGAAAAAAACTGAAGGATTGATGTGATGACCTTCATGATTTAGAACCAAATTTCTGTTTGATAACGAATTAAATGATATTGATTGCAAAATTAGAAGCATCATTTAACAAATCATGACACTCGAATTTAATCGAGTTTGATTCTCATGCAAATCTCACATCTCGAACTAGAATTCGTGTTTAAATTAGATTCAACCCAAATTCACTAACTAGTATTAAACTTCAAGAGCGCAAGACCCCTGACCTGAGTATTCTCCGAAATTAATTCAAGTTGAGATTTCTTTGCCCAACACCTGAATACCGAAAAACTTTTCTTATTTATTATTTGAATTGTAACAAATAGTTCGAAGCGAAAAATAAAACTCCCCACCCTGGAAATGAGAAAACATACTAATAGAGGGTTAAAACCTTATATCCAGTATTCATTATTTTTTCAAAAAAATTGTATTGATTGTTTTGCTCCGGTATCTTCCAAAAGGAAAAAAAATCTATGAGACTTGTTTTCGGAATCCAAAAGAGAGTACTTGGGTTCTTCCAAAAACTATAAAGTGTAGCATACCTGAATCTAACTAGGGTTCGCAGTGGTTGAGAAATTGAATTGGAAAAAAGAGGAATTCTAGTTGTAAGATATCTAATCTAAGATCTTTTACCATGAACTCCTCAACTCAGCTCCCTAGATCGTTTCAACAGAGCATTTAAACAACATGCGAGACCCATTCATATAACAAAGACCAAGGCTGGAAAGTTCATTTTCTTTTCTTTCCATCTTTTTCAATCCTTTAAAAAAAAGATTTGAAAGTTATTACAGGAAGAATGCACAATCAGCCATATTCAGCAGCAGCAATAATTAACCTACATCGATGGACAAGATGATCCACCCACAACATAGTTTAAATTCGGAAGGACGTGACTACAGAGACGTCAAATATTCACAAATACTCATGAATGAGTAGAAAGTTTGATGAAATAATTCTCCAGAAGAGAAATTTATCTGAGATGCCCCTACTGGCATTGGAATGCAGGGTCAAGAAACTGTCCAAGCTTTCTTCCCTGAATGTGAATCATAGATGGTGTCGGATACTTTGGAGGGAGGCCAATACCGAAACACTGATCTACCAACAATGCTTTTGACAGGAAGTGGACCCCTGAAAATAAGGAAATGGTAGAATAGCATAAAAATGTAATTCCATGAATAAATGCATAGCCAAAAAAAAAACACTGGTACAAGCTTCCAACCTCAAGTGATAAGCATTCATATAAAAGTATATCAGCAAAAATCCGTAACTCAAGGTTCCAAAATTACCAATCATGGGAGTCAAAGCTGTTGTTGCGATTATCCCCCATCACAAATACGTAGCCTTCAGGCACAAGCTACACAACCACCAAATGAAAAAACAAGATTACTCAGATCAATGCCAATAATACTACAGGAATTAAGAAAGACTTGTTTACAAATCTAGTATGCCAAAAAAGCAAAAAAACAAAAAAACAAAAAAAAAGTAGACATACCACTGCATCCATTTCATAAGCAATTGGCTCGGAGATGAATTCCTCATCTTGAATGACACCATTCACCAATAATTTCCCATCATGAACCTATGACAGATCATCACATGGATGATATGTCAGTAATGGAGCTGAAGACTTCATGTTGCCCTAAGAAAGAGAGGCAAAGAAAAACTTACCTCAACATAGTCCCCAGCCTTGGCTACAACTCTTTTTACAAATTCGTCGCCTGATCTATAACCAAATTCCTGCTGTTGAATCAAGAACAAAACAACACAAATGTAATTATATAACATATATGAGATCTAGTTAGTACTCATGTCTGAAGCACAGAATAATAAAAAAAATAGTCAACAATAAATATTTTTGTATTCATACTCAAAATAAAATCACAAACATAAAGGTGAGAAAAAAGAAAATGGGGGTGAACGGTGGTAATGGTGGTGGGAGGCAGTGGTAGTGGTGAAAGACGGTGATTGTTGTGGTGAATGGCGACGACCGTGGCGATAATGACAGCCGTGGGTGGCAACGATGATGGTGGTGGTAGATTTTGGGTGACGATGGTGATAGTGGAAGCCATAAGTGACGGCGGTGGTTGTGGGTGTGGGCGATGGTAAATGACAGTGATTATGGTAAACAGTGGTGATAGTGGCAGTGGTGGGTTTATAATGGTGGGCGTTGACGATGGTAGTGGTGGGCAACGACAGGCGCTTCTAGGCAACAATGTGATAGGTGGAGGCGATCAGCAGTGGCAGTGAAAGTGATAATGGTAGGTATGGTAAGGGTAGGTGACAATGGTGGTAGTGGTGGGCGAAGACAAGTGCTTTTAGGCAACTATGTGATGGGTGGTGGCAAATGGCAACGGTGGTGGTGGTAGGTTTGGGGAGGTGGGTGACAGAGAGTGATGACAGTTATGGGTGATGACGCACGGGAGGTGGTAAGTGTGGTAAGGGTTGGTAGTAAGGACTAACGGCAATGGTGGGCGACGACAGGTAGTGGGTGACGATGGGCAATAATGGTGGTAGTGGGTGGCGATGGGCAATAATGGTGGTGGTGGGTGCTAACGGTGGACGTCGGTGAAAGTAGAATGATGGTGGTAGTGATAATAAATACAAAAATAAGATAATGATGGTGGTGAGTGGTGGCAGTGAACGACGTTGGTAACAATCGGTGGTGGATAGCAATGGGGGTGGGGTGGTGGGACAGCGACAACGACAACGACAGAGGTGGTGGGATGGCAATGATGACGATGGTGGCAGTGATGGTTATGGGGGTGATAATGGTGGTAGGGGTGGTGATGGCACAATAATGGTGGTGGTATGGTGGCGGCAGCGATGGTGGTGATGGTGGGGATGAGGGTGGTGGTTGTGGTGGTGAGGTAATGGCGACGATGGTGGTGGGGGTAGTTGTGATGGTGGGGTGGCGGTGATGGTAGTGGGGACGGTGGTGGTAGTGAAGCGATTCTAAACATTACTTTTTTTTTTAAAGTAGTTATAAGAAATTACAAATCGTAAAAGCATTTTTAAAAAGTCACTCCAAACTTAAGGGCCTATTTTATCAATTAAATTTGAAGTGTTAATATTAGCCGTCGGATTAACTTTAAAGTAAAATTTAAAATATCTCAACCATGAAAAACAAAAATCATTTTTGTTATCTTTTTAAATTTGAATTGTATTATATAGATAGGGCATAATCTGTTCCCAAAACCAAGCAGTCCACAAATTCAAGGTACCTGGAGGATTGGAGGTGCCCTAAATATCACTATATCTGAAACTTCAGGCTTCCTGAATAGATATGATACCTGAAACATTAAATACAGCATTGAAAACCAATGAAATCAGAATTCTACTGAAAGAATTAGGACCTCATATCCAAACCAACAACTATATAGCATATTCCTGTCTGATGTTGGGACAAATTCAGTTATCATGTTCTAGCAGTATATATTTTTTAACAAGATTAATTGACAAAAAATAAAATATTTAGTAATCCCAACCATTTGTGTACAATAACTGTTCAATGAAAATAAGAGCATAGATTATATATTTCCTTATCTCCGCTATTATTTTGAATATTCATGTGAGAAAGAAACTAAAACATAAAAAACCTACAAGCACCGACCCTAAGCTTGCTGAAATTGAAACTATATATATATGAAAAATTTTCAAATTACTACAAGTAACAGCAATAGTGGCAAATTAATGGAACCAGGAATTCATGTTGTGTTCTATACAAAAATGAACTTTATTGGACTAAACATCACATTTTGTTTGGTATCCAGGTCTGACAATACAAAAGGGGTCAAGTTTATAAACTTCAGAAAGCAGAGTTGCCAAATTTTTATTTCTCATCAAAGAAGGAAAAGGGTAGTTCACCAGCTAACCATAATCTAAATTGACTGGCATCATAGGCCTAAATAACAATTCTCCACCCGAATTGTAAAGTTTTACTGGTATATTCATTCCCAATATCCACACCATATGAAACTATTTATAGTCCAGTTATGTTATAGGCAAACATATTATCTCTCTGGGTAATATTAATCAAACTATAGAAACAGCTAAACTAAGCATTCTTGTACCTTCTCTGCCATAATACGGTCGCCCACATCCAGAGTAGGAGACATAGAAGACGAGGGAATTGATCTTGGCTCTGCCAGGGACGATCGGAAGAGAATGCTAACACTCAAAGCTGTGAAAACGGCCTTGGCATCCTCCGAACAGAAATTCAACATTCTCGACAGCCAATTACTTCTCGATAACTTGAAGTCCCCTGACATATCCTCCGAACTACAACTCTCTTTAACTTCACCACACAGTGTTCCACCCTTATCAACCTCAGTAATCCCCGAGCCGATACTCGGCTCGTTACACGGCAACCACTTCGAACTTGGCAAAAACGGAATAATCGACGAAGCCTTAAACGAAGAAATCCCGTTAATCCCCATAGAAGAACCCCCAGGAACCCCAGCCGACGATTTCATTAGCGAAATCAGGCCAACAACCATGGGGTTTTTACAATTCTCGCCCAGAATTTCACCGGCAAGAGTCGAATACATCGTCGACGACAAATTCTTGGGCTTTGGCCGCCGAAACTCCGTTGAATAATTTGTTTCAGGCTTTGGGTAAGGATAAAAGAGACGAGATCTGGTTCCGCACTCGTGGAAGAGTCGACACGTTCCGATCTTGGAAGTGGCAGTGGCGGAGATGTTTCGGGCAACGTAGCCGGAGTACGTGACGGTGAACCGAATCGCCATAACTGCAATTTGGTATAAACTGATAAAGATTCGGAAAATAGCGGCTTCGGTGATCGACGGTGAGAGTAAAAAGAAGCCTACAAGAAGAGAACCGACATTGCAATAGGAAGAGTATGTGAATCGGAGACGTGAGGGTTGAATTGAAAAGTTGACCTAGCGAATGAAAAAAAAAAAGAGAGAATCGGAGGCAAAATTGGGTTTTTTTTAGATCAGAATGAATGGAAAAAGTTTTAAGATTGGTAACCCTAGAAGGCCTGAGCTTTCCTCACAGAGGCTCAGGTGAGACTCGAGAGAGAGAGAGAGAGAGCGAGTCTATGTGAGGGAAGCCAAGAAGAGAGGGAGAAAGAAGATGGAAAGGATATGGGTATTATAGTCGGCGGCTTTAGGCAACGCGGCAAAATGTCGCAGTTTCTTACTATAATTACAAAAATACCTGGAGCACTCGTGAGCCTTCACCTGTTGAGCACTCCGTTTTTAATTTATAAAAATACAACAGCGATTAATATTAAATTTATTTTAATTTAATAATAAATAATTTATTAAAAAAAATTTTTACAAACATTAATTTTTATGCACAATTTTTAATATTAGATAATTAAACTAATGCACTCCTCAATGTCAAATAAATATACTAATTTTCACCTACCCTTCCCTTCTCTTCTCTTTTTAGCTCTTATTTTTTTTATCCACTTTAACTTTAAAATGTATAAATAGAATTATTATTTAAAAATAAAATATTACATAATTAATATTCAATTTTTAGTATTTCATAATAACTTCAAACAAGGAGTGCCTTGTGCCTTAAGTGAGCTACATTTGATAGGTCAAGTCCGTCAATCTATCTGTTGTGTCGTATACTTGTTTGAACTACACATTTTCTCTTCGTATTATTAATTTATACATTTTTGATTCAATCCTTAAATATATTTTGAGAAAATATTACATAATCCAAAATTTTAAATTTAAATATATATCATCTTTGAGATTACACAATAAAAATTAATAAAATTCACTCATATAATAAATAATATATATTTAAATTTAAATTTTTTAAATTTTATTTAAATTATATAGCATTGCTCGTACTCTGATTATCACTTTAACATTTCTTGTAAGTAGTCGAGAAGTTTTAAATGTGAGTTTAAAAATATGGGTTTGTGTAATCTGGTGCAATCCATTTCCTCCTACATATTTGGTACAAGGTAGTAATTTTTCACAAGACTGAGGAGGGCATTTGTCGTCCTAACCTTTTCAATCACTGTTACTTGACTTTTGACCATCAATTCCATTATGATGTCAGTGGGGTTTGCTTCCCTGCAACAATTGCTCCCTCTGGCGTTAACAATGCCCAAACGTTTTGGAATATTTAGGTGCCTAAAAAAACACTAATAGCCCCATATTTTAGACGTGCACAAGTTAGGGGTTATTTGATACGTGGGTACGGGGGGTTTGGGAAAATGCATCGGGGAGTAAACATTTTTAAAATAAACTTTTTTAAACTTGGATTTGACAATCAAGAAATATAGATAGAATTTTAAACTCGGTCTGATCATAAAATTCACATATATTTGGATTTCATGAAATTCAAAGGGGTTGAATTTCATTTGTGAGTTTAACATACAAATGATATTTATACCCTTATATCTATATAATAAAACAGAAGTGTGTTTGAATTTTATCTTATTCATATTTTCTTCCTCAAAATAATCATCAATCACTTATCTCACTCATCATCCCTTTGTTGACTCAAACGTCTAATCACATCACTTATTTTTATTATATATTTAATCATTTATATATTTCCTCCCTAAAAATATCACACCACTCATTTCTATCATACATTTAATCATTTAATATTTAATTAATTTATAGTTAATATATTTTGAAAAAAATTAAATATAGTGGGATCGATTTTTTAGACACTCAAATTTTATATTTTATTGTACCTTCAGGCACAGATTATGACTAGTATCCTATATATATCTCATATATACAAACTAATTATAACCCGTGCCTAAAGACACGATAACATATAAAATTCAAGCGTTCAAAAATCGAACCCATTATATTAAATTTTTTCAAAATATATTAACTAAAAATTAATTAATTATTAAATTATTAGATATATAATAAAAAAGAGTGGTGTAATATTTTTAAGAAGAAAATATATAAATGATTAAATATGTAATAGAAATGAGTGATGTGATTTGACGTTTGAGTCTGACAAAGGAATGATGAATGAGATAAATGATTGGTGATAGTTTTGATAAGAAAAATATAACTGGGATAAAATTTAAACACACTTCTGTTTTATTATATAGATTAGTTAAGGAGTAAAAAAGTTAAATATATACAAATATATTATAATAATAATAATATACCTTGCGCATATCAATTATGGGCATAGATAACATTAACCCCCTCAAATCCATCTTTGAATCTCATCTTTGGTCAAATTTGAGTTTAAGCAATCCAATTCAAACCCTTCCCAAAAAATATATCAAACAAGCCGTAACTGTTAGTGCTTCGATCAATGGATATATGACCATGGAACTTTGAGGACTTATACGTCATTTGAGTCAGTTCAACGACCACATGAATTGCCACCTCAAATGCATCTGTAAGGGGTAGAACCCTCCACTCAGGATTTCGGCTTGACCTGGGTTAACCCACGCGGGCGACCCCCCAGTAGCCTTTACCTCTCTTCGCCAATAGGACCCTTTCCTAAGGCAATCCCACATCGGAAGAGAGTCGTCTTCCCCCCTCGCATATAAGCCCTTGCACTCAAAGGAGGAGGTACCCACTAGCGACCTG